AGGCTAACCTCAAACTTGCAGTGATTTTGATCTAAGTACATATTTATTTATGAAATAACCTAATTGTAACTGCTCCATGCAGTAATATACTTTATTTTGTACCCCTTATTCCCCCTTTTGTCTCCTTCACCTTCACAGTGGTCTTCTCAGCTAATCCCTTCTCCTTTCATGCTGTATTTTTATTACTTTTGTTAGTGTGTGCAGTAACAGGTTTCATTACACATTTTCATATGAGTATGTTTTACTGGACTCATATTCTTGACCTCTGTTATTTCTTTAACCATCCCTCCTCCCCCAGTATTCCTCCCCTCGCCTTCATCACACACAAATGCAGATTCCACATACAGGGAAAATATGATGTCTTTTTTCTCTTATTACCCTCTTTTGCTCCCTAATCCCTGTCTTCATTGTTTTCTCCAAGTAGTACTCTTTAAAAAAAATTGTCGTGCATACATGTGTACATGTATGTGTGTGTGAAATCTTTAGTGCACATAAGAGAGCAAGCATGAAATATTTGTCTTTTGTAGCACAAATAATAAAAACCCAGAGTCAGATATTGGGGTTCAACCTGAAAAGCAAAGCAGCCAGGCCACTAGAGAAGTCTTACCTCCACCAAGGCTGGGTGACTGTAGACTAAGCTGACTAAGCCTCTCTCCTCTCATTTTATATATTCCCTCTAGTGCTGGGATTCAGGGTGTGTGACTCCCTAGTACTGGGATTAAAGATGTGAGCCACCACCACCTGAATTTGTTCTTTCATTGATCTTGTGTAGCCCCGGGTAGCCTTGAACTCAAAGATCCACCTGACTCTGTCTCCCAAATCCTGGGATTAAAGGTGTGTGTCACCATTGCCTGACCTCTAGCGACTTTAGCTTTGCCTCTGATCTTCAGGCAAGATTTATTTATCAAAATACAAATAATATACCACTATGGTCTTTATGAACTGCTTTATTTAGTTTAGCAATGCATACAGCTCCATCCTTTTCCCTGCAAATGATGTGATTTTGTTCTCTGTGTCCAAGTAGAAGTCCATGTGTGTATGACACATTTTCTCTGTTCATTTCATAGATGCACTGCTGGTATTTTTTGACTTGTAAATAGTGCTGTAGTAAACATGTATATGAAGATACTTTTGTGACATTCTGGCAGTTTCTTCAGGTAAAGGCCCATCAATAGTGTAGTTAGATCATATGTACTCTTTAGTTTTGGAAGTACTTTCATACAGATACAGATAGGCTGAACTAGTTTACAGTAATATGCTTTCCCACTGCCTGCACCCGCCCCACACGTGTTTTCTTGATAGCCATTCTGACTGGATTGAGGTGGAATCTCGGTTCAATTTTGATTTGCATTTTCCTGATGGCTAGGAATGTTAAACTTTTTTTTGCCTATTTATTGGTCACTTGTACTTATAAATGTGTGGTGTGTACCTGGAGCGTGTGAACGTATTTTTTGGTGCATGTATGAAGATAAGAGGGCAACCTCAGCTGTGAGTCTTCACCTCCCACCTCGTTATGAGACAAGAGTGTTAGGTAGTTAGGTTTATTTACTATTTTCCCCGATGGTGACCATGGTCATTGCATGTCACTCCTGTCTAGCCAGTGTTCACTCTCTGGCTCACTTGGATGTTTTTCAATTCTCAAGCTTACGCAGTTGGGTTCTGTATCACAATGCTGGTCTGGATGCTGAGGCAGTTTATTCTATTAGCAGCTGCTCCAGAACAGGCAGCTCTATTTGTTGGGATCAGTTAACTTCATTCTCTTCACCTGTGTTGATCTAGAAACAGGAAGCGTCCTTTGGAGCTGCCGGACAGCTGTGGACTTCCAAGGCCAGTCATTTGCCTGGGAGTTTAGGTGACGTAAACCATGCGTGCAGAATGTGATGGAAACAGTGGAAGCAGATTTCTTTTTAAAAAGTTCTGATAGTGTAGGAACTTTTATCCATCTTGTCCACACGTCCTGCTTCTTCCCTTCCTGCATGTGTTTCTCTCTGCAGCTGGTGGTTACCGTCAGGTAGAGCATGAGGAAGTTACATTTAAACGTAGGGTGACTCGTGTTTGGGTGTATAGAGAACAGAGCCTTAGTTGTCTAGCTGTTTGTTTCCTCACCTGTATCTCTTGTGATTAGAGCCTGACAGTCTCTGAACTCCTCACTGGGACTTCATGTTTTCATCTTGAAAGCCCTGGAAGCGCTTTGTGTAGACAGCTGCAGGCGCGAGTGTTAACACTGACACCACTGTCTGACCCGTTTCCTCTCCACGCCGTGAGCATTACCTTAGACTGTAGGGGCAGCTCTGCCTCTGGGACTCCGCAGTGAATCCTACCCTGAGAATCCTGCAACTCTTTAGCTTTGAAGGTGTGTTTTAAAATCTTTCATGTAGCCAGGTGGTGGTGGCAGTGCAGGAGGCAGAGGTAGACGGATTTCTGTGCATTTGAGACCAGCATGGTCTAAGTTTCTACATGCAAACCTTTATTTTTCAGAAGCCAGATGAAACTGGGCATGGTGGCTCACTCATACCTTGTGATCCCAGTATTTGAAATGCTAAGGCAGGAACATTAATGCAGGTGTGAGGATAACCTGGGCTACAGAATAAGGGCCTCCAAAAACAACAAAACGTTAATAAAGTCTAAAAGCATTACAATAAATAAATAAAAGTCATATTGGTGGGTTTTATGCAATACTGGGGATCAAATGTAGGGCTTTGTCACTAAGCCATACCCTCAACTCCCATATTGGAAATTTTATACTTATTGTGCAAAGTGTGCTGAAGTGTTTCGTTTGGTTGTCTTAGGGGCATATAGGAGTCAGCATGATTATGCTTTCAAGCTGAGTCAGCTGTGATAACTTTGTGTGTGTTTCCCTGTGTTGTGTGTGACCAGTGGGCTCTATGAGGTGTGCTCTTCACAAGGTTTATTAGTCAGGATCCTCTAAAAGAACATAACTGGTGTGTGTGTGTGTGTGTGTGTGTGTGTGTGTGTGAGTGTTTTGCCTGTTTATATGTGTACTGCATTGCCTCTGTACCCATGGGAGTCAGAAAAGGGTGTCTGATCTCCTAGAGCTGGAGTTACTGACTGTTGTGAGCCACCATGTGAGTGCTTGGCACCAATCCTGGGTCCTCTGCAAGAGGACCTGTCAGTTTGAGAGGGAGAATGATATGGAAGGGGCTGGAGGGAAGCAGTGGAAGTTCAGAGAAGTGATGCGGTTATATTTTAGCTAAAAATATACTAAGAGAACAAAAAGCACAGCTGGTTCTAGTATCAGTGAAGGAATGCCAGCACCCAGATACACGAACTTGCCAGGAGTGAAGGCAGGCAGCCAAAAGCAGTTTCTTCTTTCATGTCTTTTATCTAGGCTGCCACTTTATGTCACCCATATTGGGGGTGGGACTTCCTGCTTCAGGTAGTCTGATCAAGGAAATACATCTCTTATAGGAGAGCATGGAAGGTTGCATTTACTTGATTCTAGATACAGTGAAGTTGACAACCAAGATAAGCCATCACATATGTTGATGGCAGGGTACAGAGGAACAAGCAAAGTGTGAGGGACTTTAGGTCCTTATGCAGAACTGGCAACCTAACCTGCTGCGTAATTTTCTCTCCATTTACTGGAGTAGGCCTGGTAGCCAAGTTCCACGTCAGTGAGATGAGAAGTATCTCTTTGAAGTGTATAGCAGTCACAATGAACCTCCTCTAGTCTTTCCCCTTTGTTTGGAGTCTACTAACTAGTGTGGTAATGCTTATTGTTGCTGTAGTGCTATGTCTGTGTCTGCCTCCCTATTGAAAACGGAAAGTTACTCTTTCTGTTTTGTATGTACATATGTTCTTGTTGCTGGGGAATCAAGCCTAAAGCTTTGTGTGTGTTAGATGTGTGCTTGGACACTGGTTACTTAGCCAGAGAAGCTGCATATGTCTGCTAAATAACATTTGAACAGAGACGCTATGGGGCCCAGTAGGGAGGCACTGGTCTGTAGCCTTGTCTTCTGAGGAGGAGTATTTCTACTTCAAGCCCAACCTGGGGTACAGAAATCTGGAAGAAAGTATATTTCCCCCTCTACTTTGTAAGCTTGAGTTTTTACCTTAATGAAGTTCATGGGCCGGCTCATTTGGAAAGTGAACGTACTGTCTGTTTTAGACCTGTGCTTGTTGTGAAAGCTGTGGAGTGAGTCTCCTGTTCTCTAAAGACCAGAAGTCACATTCTGTGTCCCAGTAGATGTCCTGTGAGAACTGCCCTTCCTCAGCCTGTTTCCAGAGAGGGTAAATAGATTAGCGTATACCTTCTGTATCCATAGAGCTTCCCGTCCCCTGTCCCTCTAGGGTCTCCCTATGTTGCTTAAGCGGGCCTCAAACTCCAATTTCTCCCAAGTCTGCGTCCTGAGTGCTAGAATTATGGGTATGTATTACCACACCTTGCCCCAAGTTGTTTCTTTTCTTTTCTTTTCTTTTCTTTTTTTTTTTTTTTTTTTTTTGAGACAGGATCTCTGTAGCTTTGGAGCCTGTCTGGCCTCAATCCACCTGCCCCTGCCTCCCAAGTGCTGGGATTAAAGGCAGGCGCCGCCACCACCACCTGGCTCCAAGTGTACTTCTTAACAATGTATGCATGAGAAAAATTTTAATTTCTCTATATGAATTTCTCAATAAGGATGTTTGAAAAGTTGATAAGCATATTGATAACCTAGATTTATGTATTGTTACATTTGATTTTCTTGTTCTTTTCCTAACAGCAGAATTATATTATGGAATATCAGCTAAGGTTGGAAATCATTAAAACAATTCAAAGCTAGAGTTTATAAAATTAACCCAAACTTGACTTTGTATTACAGTCCAGTCTTTGCCGTAAGAAGAACCATGATTAGGTTAGCCCTGGGTTTGTATTAGTATATGTGTTTCTGGTCATTGGCAGTAAATAAAGATTTTGGTGGGGACAGAAATGAAGCAAACATGTGAATTGTTCGAGGTGCTATGATCATTTTGTGAAAAGTCTCACTTCATCTCGTATCTTTTAGATCTGAAGACTGCACCATCCTGCCTCCAGCACAAGCAGCTTCTCTGTCTTGTGATCAATGTCACTCACAGGAACTTAAGGAGCAAACGAAATGAGTGTGGGGCGTGGAAAATATGGCTTTTATATTGGTCTGGGATTGGCTATGACCTCCAGCATTTTCATTGGAGGGAGTTTCATTTTGAAAAAAAAAGGCCTTCTGCGACTTGCCAGAAAGGGCTCCATGAGAGCAGGTAGGTTATGTCCCGAAGCTGTCAGAAGTGCATAAATGCTTACACATCCTGGTTCTTTGCATATAGAAGCATGCTTTGTGAGTATATCGGATCATTTGAACTGCTTGATATCAGAATATTTATTAGATAACCAGATGCCAGTTTTGTAATGAGAAGTAAGTTGTCAAAAGTAATTGACTGTTCACTTGTATAGGTGCTGTCGATAGGAGAGAACCAGTGCCCAGTTAGTTTCCAGAGTTTAGATTTCATCATGTCTGCACGGCAGGGATAGGGTCTAGGGTAGAACCAGATTTTGTTGAGGACTGGGGTATTTTATACATGATAGTACAATTTCTGACTTCTGCCTCAGATGTTTTTCTTGGTGATTTCAAATTGCATGGAGGAGAAAATGGCCTTGTCCACCTGGAGTCCTCTGCTTACTGACCTGGGTGGTGTAGGTGTTCTCCTCGAACTGCCGATGTGTTAAGAGACTGGAGGATACTTGGTGTGAGCGAACCGTAGTTCAATCCATGGGTATCCACTGCCGTTCCCAGAATCGTGAGATAGTAATGCTTACCATACATCTGGGCTGTGCTGTATTTTAGAGCGTATCAGGCCTCATGAGTAGACTACACCACTGTCAGCCACAGGGACCACTTTTCTTCCCATGACAGATCTAATTCAGCAATGTTGAAACAACACAGAAGTCTCTTAGGACTTAATGGTCAAGGGAGAAAATAACAGTATCAGCATTTTTCTGTAGTCTTTCAGTCTTGGTTTTAAGGCATCTCCTGTTACTATTCCTAAAGTATGGCTTGTAAAATTGATTCGCTTTGTTTTTTTTATGGACAGTGGCCAAAGTGCCAATTATTTCCTGACTTAGTTTGGTCAAGGGGAAAAACCAAGGAAAAAGTAGATTGGCAGCCTACATCACGAGGAGTTCTCAGTCTTCGTATGACCGTAGTGCTCTCTCAAGTGGGTCTGCACACATCTAACTAGCGTTTCCCTTTGTAGACGAACTGCTTTGAAGTCATCCACTTCTGTAAGCCCTTCCCTCCAGAAAGGTTCTTTTTCTAGTTCAGGTTCTCCTGGACTCACTCTGTAGCCCTTGAGACTTAAGTGCTGGATTGCTGTGTGCACCGCATTGCCCAGCTTTGTTACTTTTCGCTTGCTCATTTTTCTTATTTATCAAAGCTGCTTAGGTTTGTCCTTTAACTCAGGAGGAGAGTACTAATGTAAACATTGTGAAGATGTCTTTTCTAAGATGATCATAATTACATAGTGAGACAATTTAAAACTGTGATGACTTACTAGTTGCGGAGGTTTTACAAGAGAATAATAATCTGCTAAAGAAGTGAACTATCTCTTCATTCACAGGTCAAGGTGGCCATGCATATCTTAAAGAATGGTTGTGGTGGGCTGGACTGCTATCAAGTATGTATAGAGAACATTTCAAGTAAACATTATAAATATATGCTAAAATGTTTCATATTAGTACATTTTAGAGCTTAGAGCTTGCTTTTATGAGTTTAATTCAAAATAGACTTAAGCCTGTAAAAATAACTCACTTAATACTTATTTATTTTGAATAAGAACTTAAGAAATACTAATTTGATTAAAATATTTTTGTATATGGCTTTGCCTTTAAAAACACAGGATAAGTAGGTTAAAGGTATGTGTGTGCTGGGGGGTGGGGGATAGAGCACGTCCCTAATATGTGAAACACCCGAGATTTGATTCCCCAGTGTTGCAAAAAAAGAAGAAAATAACTGATAGATGGAAGCCAGAGGATCTTTTCCTTCTTCTCCTTTATTAGGTCTCATTCTAAATTGGAAAGGGGGTGTCTATTTAATAAGACTGTTCGTGTTTATTTTGGTGAAGAGGATGGAAAGATGGCTCAGTGGTTGTTGCTCTAGTAGGGGACCTGAGCTCTATTCCCAGCACCCATATGGTGGTTCACAACCAGCTGTAACTCCAGTCCCAGGGTATCCTGGACACTTTTCTGAGCTCCGTGGGCACCAAGCACGCCCATGGTAACACGCATACATATGTTCAGGTGAAACACTCAGACACAAAATTAGTCTTTGGAAGATGTGAACGAAATTGTCTGTAAGACACCGGAGAATATTCAGCAGGTGCTTTTCTGTTGACCATCTCTTGTATGCCAGACATTGTTCTTGATGCTAAAGAGTTAGTAAGACTGGACAAAAGCACCCCCCCCACACACACAGAAAATCATACAAGGAACTTACATTTAAAGTGGGCAGACAATAAGCAGGAATAATAGATTAAACAGTGTGTGGGGGGATATGAACTGGAGAGTAAATAGACTGACTTTTAGGTGGGAAACCATGGAGGACAAACCTTACTGAAAAAATAGTATTTGGGTAGTAGACAAGTGAGAATGTGAGGGATCTGGCCATGTGAAAACAGGGCCTTTGAAATGAAGGGAATAGTAACTACAGACTTCACTGCCGCCTGCGACTGCCTGTGAATGCTGCAGCCTTCTCTGGGATGCCTCCAGTTGTTCTTACCTCCTGGGATTCACACTTTTGGGTAGTCGTCTCTTAGATGGAGTTAGTGCTGGCCCAGTACGATCACAGAATCCAGAAAGTCATGATGTATGACTTCTAAGGCCACATCATAAATGGAGTTGCAGCTCTCCCCTTCCTTCTTGGATTGTTTGTTTTGGGGAAGCCAGTTGCTGTGTTGTGAAGATATTCAATAGCTATCTTTAGAAAGATCCCTGAACAACAGCCAGTCATATCAGTGTGCCGCCTTGGAATATGGCTCTAACCTTCAGAAACTGCAAGCCTTGGTTTACATCTGATACAAGTTCTTAAAAGATCCTGAAATTTCCCAAAGTCTGGGCCAACAAGCCATGTCAATAAACTTCTTTTTCCAGCAGCATAATTAGAGTGATTTTTCTAACACTAGAGCATTAAAACCCCGGGAAGCTTTAAAGAAAGGTCAGCAGTAAGGATTGTGAGCCATGGGGCAGCAGGAGATAAGTTTAGAGAAACGAGGGCCTTCCTTAGCTCACGGAGAGGGCTTTTACTCGATGTTGGATGGGAAGCCATTGGAGATCCTGAGCAGGTGTGCTGTCCTTCTCTGGCTGCTGTGTTGACGCACAGGCCTACTGTGTAGACTGCGTCAGGATGCTGGGGTTAAAGGAGGTAACAACTCGGACGGGGTCGTGCCAGGAAGTATAAGTATAGTGAGAAGGATTCTGTATATGTTTTCAGTGTAGAACTGACAAGATGTATACATGTTCTCATCGATCAAAATGTATGGTGTAAATGAAGGACATTGAAGACTGTTGGCCACAGCGGTAGAAAGGACTGTTCTGATGCTAAGGAGATAGGAAGGACTTGAACAGACCAGGTAGGAGGAGATCAGGAGTTTGTCTGAGTGTATTAATGTTAAAAGTTTATATAAAACATTTAAACAGATATGTGAAATTGGCAATTACTTAGACAGGTCTGGACTTGTACCAGGTCATTCAGGCTGGTGACCAAAAAATTTGGAGTTGCTGTCTATGTAAAACCAAATACTACAGGAGGTCATTAGGAAATGAGACTATGTAGAAGTCCAAATATCAGATACTCAAAATATAGACTTAGATACATTTAGACCTCAGGAATAGAGGAGGAAAGAGACTGCCTCCCAGCACTCAGGAGGCAGGGGCAGGCAAATCTCTGAATTCAAGGCCAGCCTGGTCTACATACAAAGTGAGTTCCAGGACAGCCAGAGCTGTCTTGGAAAAAAAAAAATTAAAAAAACACCAACATTTTTGTTTTTAAACACAGGATCACAATATAGGAGGACTTAAATTACAACCCCCCCCCCCCCGGTCTTCTCATTTTACACTGGTGTGTAACCAGAGAATAGACTCTGTTCAGGGAGAAAAGGGGATGTTATCTTAGTTTCTGTCAGTGTGACACAAACCAGAGTCGCTTGGGAAGAGGGAACCTCAGTTGAGGAACCACCTCCATCACACTGGCCTGTGGGCATGTCTGTGGAGCCTTGTCTTAGTGATTTCTATGAGAGGGCCTGACTTGGGCAGCTAATCCGGGCTGTGTAAGAAAGCAAGCCCATGAGGCTGGACAGAGATGGCTTTGGTTAAGAGGCGCTTTTACTCTTGCGGAAGACCACACAGTGGCTCACAGCTGTCTGTAACTAGTTCCAGGATATCTGATATCCTCTCTGGCCTCTGCAGGAACCAGGCATGCACAGGGCACACAGGCACACCTGCAGACAAGCTCTCATGCACATAAAATAAAAAGAAAATTAAAGTATGAGGCCAGCCCCAGTTACATACTGAGAACTGGTCTCAAAAAAGCAACTAAAATAAGACAACTCAAAAAAGAAAAGAAAAAAAAAGGTATCTCCTCACCTCTACAGCAGAAGACAGCCAAGCAGAAAGCAGTAGGGAAACATGGAGTAACTGTGCACTGGACAGGTGGGTCAGCATTTTCCTGAAAACAAGTTACAGGTCTCGCTGAACATAGCGGACAAGGAGGACTACTGAGACCTCAAGAACAATGGCAATGGGTTTTTGATCCTACAGCACCTATTGGTTTTGTGGGAGCCTAGGCAGTTTGGATGCTCACCTTACTAGACCTGGATGGAGGTGGGTGGTCCTTGGACTTCCCACAGGGCAGGGAACCCTGATTGCTCTTTGGGCTGACGAGGGGGGGGGACTTGATTGGGGGGGGGGGAGGGAAAGGGGAGGCGGCGGTGGGGAAGAGACAGAAATCTTTAATAAATAAATAAATAAAATGATGGAAAAAAAAAAAAGAAAACAAGTTACAAAGCTGAGAGAAAAGCCTCCTTGAAATGAATTGAAGAGCTGACGTGATAGTGGAGACCAGCCTTTGGTCCAGGATGTGATAGAAGCTCTCGAGGTGCCGCCTGGAGCAGTGGACTCAGCCTTCCCAATGCCCTAACCCCGTGTAGTACACTTCCTCGTGCTGTGGCCCCCAACCACAAAATTATTCCCGTTACTACTTCAGAACTGTGATTTTGCTACTGTTATGAAAATAACTGACATGTGACCCCAAAGGGGTCATGACCCACGGACTAATAACTGCTGCCCTAGAGGAAGTAGGTAAGGAGATAGTGGATCTCTGAATCGTACTAACAAGGATCAGCCTTTGGTTGCCTGGAGTGGGAACTGTGGCGTGTTCTGGCTGAACTCTGAAGGCTGTCTCCTATGTACTACTGAGTCACCACTTGACAACTTCTTTCTAGTCCCTGTGCACCTGGCAGGAAGCAGAAATTCTCTAGTGAAAACATAGCCTCAGGCCCTTCATGTCTTTGAGGTTGGTTTTTAGAAAGAAGGATCCAGTAAAACTTGTGAGATTTGCCTTTATATCTATCTGTTTTTTTTTTTTTTTTGTTTTTTTGTTTTTTTGTTTTTCGAGACAGGGTTTCTCTGTGGTTTTGGAGCCTGTCCTGGAACTAGCTTTTGTAGACCAGGCTGGTCTCAAACTCACAGAGATCCGCCTGCCTCTGCCTCCAGAGTGCTGGGATTAAAGGCGTGCGCCACCACTGCCCGGCTGGGTTTTTTTTTTTTTTTTTTTTTTATTGTTTTT